GTTTTATAAAATAATTAACAACACAGTTTTACAAAATACTATTCATAAAGATCCACGATATATAGAACACCAATATATCAACCATCTCTTTTAAAAATATACTACCAAAAAATAAAAATAAATTAAAAAATAAAAATATACTATCACTTCATCTTTGAAATTACTTAATTTCCTCCCTTTTCATCTCCCACCACAAAGGCAAACAAATAATGCCGCACCTGCTGAAGAGGTGCAACAGTGTGCACATGACCAAGGGATCCACTGATGCTCTTACATAGCCCATGATCCAGAAGCTACCTGGCTGATAGAGTGATGAAATGAACGGCTGAACTAAGGTGCCAACTCTAAGAAGATATCACGTGATGATGGGTATCCTCCAGAAAGCCATCATATATATACTACATCAACAACCATTTGATGGTGCCTTTATCCTACATAGGCTTACATGGGTCTCAGAACCAAAAGGTGGAAGTAGAAGGGGTGTATTTATCATCACTCCCTCTTGGTATGACTTGTTCGGTGATTTTGCACTTCCAGTTCCTATAATTCTGGTTATTGGTTCATTTTTGTTTTCTTTTTAAAAAGATTTTATTTATTTATTTTTAGAGAGGGAAAGGGAGGGAGAAAGAAAGGAAGAGAAACATCAATGTGTGGTTGCCTCTCAAGTGCCCCCTACTGGGGACCAGGCCCACAACCCAGGCATATGTCCTGACTAGGATTCGAACCAGCGATCTTTTGGTTCACAGGCTGGTGCTCAATCCACTGAGCCACACCAGCCAAGGTCATTTTTTTTCCTAGTAATTGACTCAATCTTGATAACATGAAATTCCAGAAAATTATCATCAATTTTTTCCATTTTTATCTTAAGTATTATTTTATTATTTGTCAACTCAAGCTGCTATAACAAAATACCACATACTGGGTAGTTTAAATAATAAATATTTATTTTCTCACAGTCCTTCAGGCTGGAAATCTGAGATCAGAGTGCCAACATAGTCAGACTCTGGTGAAAGTTCTCTTCCTGACTTGCAAATTTAAGATTGAAATCATACCAAGTATCTTTTCTAACCACAATGATATAAAACTAAAAATCAACAAGAGAAAAGTTGGAAAAAATTTTAAACATGTGGAAACTAAACAAAACACTCAAGGAGTCAAAGAATAACTCTAAGGGGAAATTTTTTTAAATCTTGAAACAAATGAAATGGAAACAAAACACCCCAAAACACATGGAATGTCGTAAAAGCAATTCTTAAAGGGAAGTTTATGGTGATAATTGCATATATTAAGAAAAAGAAAAATCTCATATAAAGCACCTAACTTTACATCTCAAGGGACCAAAAAAGAACAAATTCAAGCTCAAAGTTAGCAGGAGGAACAAAACAACGAAAGTCAAAGCAGAAATAAATGAAAGAAATCCACCCCCCTCAAAAAAAACAGAAAAGATAAACAAGACCAAAAGATAGTTTTTGAAAAGGTAAGCAAGATTGACAAACATTTAGCTAGACTAAGGAAAGAAAAGAGAAGACTCAAATAAATATAATTAAACATGAAATAGAAAACATTAAAACTGATACCACAGAAATGCAAAAGTGCATAAAAGATCACTATGACAATTACATGTCAACAAATTGGATACCTAAAAGCAATGGATAAATTCCTAAAACCACACAACCTACAAAGACTGAATCACTAAAAAAGTAGAAAATCTGAACATACCAACAACAAGTAAGGTGATTAAATCAGTAATCAAAAACCTTCCAACAGAGAAAAGCTTAGGACCAGATAAATTCTCTAGTGAATTTTATCAAACAGTTAAACAATATTAACGAAATTGTTCTCAAAATAGTCCCAACAATTAAAGAGGAAGAAACACTCCTAAACACACTTTATGAGGCCAACAATACCCTGATACCAAAGAAAAAAAGGAAACTACAAGAAAAAACTATAAACCAATATCCCTCATGAATATAGATGCAAAACTCTCAACAAAAATATAAGCAAACCAAATTCAGCAATACATTAAAAGTATCATATACCATGATCAACTGGGATTTATGCCTGAGATGCAAAAAGGGTTCAACATACACAAATCAATACATGTGACAACTCATTGATAAATTAAAGATAAAATTCATATGATCATCTCCATAAAGCAGAAAAAGCTTTTAACAAACACATTCCTTCATGATTAAAAAAACTCTCAATAACTTGTATATAAAAGGAACATATCTCAACATAAAAAGGCCATATATGACTACACACTGCTGACACAATACTTGATGGGAAAAGATTGAGTTTTTCCTCTAAAATCAGAAAAAATACAAGGATGCCCACTTCCGCTGCTTGCATTTAACATAATATTGGAAGTCCTAGCAAGAACTATCAGGCAAGACAAAGAAATAGGAGGTATCCAAATTGGAAAAGAAAAGAAGTAGAATTGCCACTGTTTGCACATTATATGATTTTTTACATATGAAATAAACTTCACCAAAGCTGTTAGAATTAAAAAATAAATTCAGTAAAGTTGCAGAATATAAAATCAACATAAAGCCCTGGCTGGTGTGGCTCAGTGCATTGAGCACCAGCCTGTGAACCAAAGGGTTGCCGGTTTGATTCCCAGTCAGGGCACATGCCTGGGTTGCAGGCCAGGTCCCCAGTAGGAGGCATTCGAGAGGCAACTGCACATTGATGTTTCACTATTCTTTTTCTCCTTCCTTTCTCATCTGTTTAAAAATAAATAAAATCTTTAAAAAGAAATAAGTGAAATCAACATAAAGAAAGCAGTTGCACCCTGACTGGTGTGGCTCAGTGGGTTGGGCATCGTCCTGCAAACCAAAAGGTCACCAGTTCAATTCCCCTTCATGGTACATGCTTGTGTTGTGGGCCAGGTCTCCAGTTGGGGGTGTGCAAGAGGCAACCAATCAATGTTTCTCTTGCACATCTATGTTTCTTTCCCTCTCTTTCTCCCTCCCTTTCCCTCTCTCTAAAAATAAATAAATAAAATCTTTTTTAAAATATTTTTTTAAAAAAGAAATGAGTTGCGTTTCCATACATTAAAAACGAAACACCTGAAAAAGAAATGAAGAAACTATCCCATTCACAATGTACCATTGGTCTAAATGTTCTTTGGGGACAAGTCTGAATAACTGTGTTTTATTTCCCCTAGTTTTTTTTTTAATTTAAAGTAATACTTTAATGGCATTTACCATCAGTAGCTCTAGCTAATGGTTCTTAACAGCAGTCATGGAAGCAGTTCCTGGAAGACAGCAGTTCTCAGGAACCTCATCCATCCATAGCAGCTCCCAGAATGTTAACTTTCAATTACCATCAGCAGTTTCTATCCATCACGTCCCTGAGTTCATCTGAATCCATCAAGAGGTACATCTGTGAAATATTACAAAAATATCCCCTACTAACATCTAACAGAATTCTGTTTCTTAAGGAATCTCTCATGACCCCTTAGAAACAGGCATCCTATACATTTTTACGCAGTTGAGAGAGCAATATTTCAAAGAACACATCTATGCCTGGATGGAGTTGTGGAGCAAACACCCTTTATTCATATTACGGTATCTTTGGCATGTGGTAAACTCACATGTTCTCTCCCAGAAATTCAATAATCCCCTTCTCTCAATGTTTTCCATGTGTAAACTCATGGGAGATTTAGCAAAGGCTTCAACTGCCTTTTTACTTACAGTCCTTAATTGAACAGAATAACTCATTAATACATTCATTAAAAATCCAATGAATCTCCAAATATCATATGTAAATATAATAATATCTGCTTTATAGCAGTTTGTTCAAGTCTAGGCAATCTGTCAAATCAGATTGTCTAGAGAAAGTTGTTACACATCTGATGGAGGAAATAAAACTTGTGGTCCCAGTACTGGCCAGATATGAGAACCCTGCCTATTGCACTGTCTATTTCCTCTCATGGCCATTGAGGTTTCCTGAAAAATATCAGTGTTAAAGTAATTCTAACAATACTACTCCATTCATCATATCACCCCATACAACTATAAATCTTGAGAACATAAAACATTGAACATAGACTATAGGAAAGAATGTATAGCAGTTTTTTTATATTTGTTCTTAGTCTCTCCAATGTTGAATATTCAGTAGTTCTATTATTACAGTGAGTTCTCACACAAGTCGCCTCATACCAAACTTGAACAAACGATTAAAATGTTGGAAATAACTTGGTAGTGTAATCCCTCTGGCTATAAAACCAAGGGGAAATTTTCCAGGTTTAATTGGAGAGAGAGAAAAAGAGGTTTGAGTCCTACAATATCAGAAATTGTATTGGCTGTGACATGGATTTTGAATATCATCTCCTACCAGAAATCCCCTCTGGACACTAGATGCAAGAAATTACATTATCAGACTCCTAAGCAAATGGAACTGAAGGAACAGCATACTTCATTCCATTCCTCCTTCTTAGACTACAACTGGTTGAGACTAAGATGTGACCAAAAAGATGTTAGATGATTAGCACTGAAAGATGCCATGGAAAGTTGTTAACTATATTAGCCAAGTTTTCCTGGAGGCACAACCAGGTTTACTGTATACCACTTTTTTCTATCCAAAAGCACATCCTCCTCTTTGTTCATTCTTGTTATGGTCAAAACACATAACAAAAAGACAAAATTGGTCACCACCATGTCTGGATTCTGTTGCATGAGAATATTTGGAAGACAAGGTTTCTACACTCCTGGGGACCTCTGCAAGGTATCTCTCCTTTAGGGTCAGAGGCCTGAAGTGGAACAGAGCTCAACCTCAAAGGCAAAAAAAAGCAACAACATTCTAGCCCTTGATGTTTCACAAATACTCGCAGGTAGATTAATAAATGATGAGGTCACTGCTCATGGAAGGTGAAAGTAACAGACCCCTAAAACTTAGATATTGTGTCTGTATGGAGTTAAGTCAGCTGTTGGCCCATTTTGGCATGTTATCTGTGCCAGATTAAGCTTTTTCATCCAAATATAATATGAATTTTATTATACTCCATTCACATGAATATTATTGTAGGGACAAGGTGATTCTGATGAGACAAATCTGTCAAAAGCCTCAGAATCTTTGACTGCAGCAATACCTCTCTTCTTTGGCAACCGCTTCAAGGAATCTTTGATTTCCTTGTTTCTCAGGCTGTAAATCAAGGGATTCAGCATGGGAATCACCACAGTGTAGAAGACTGATGCAAATCTGTCGAAGCTGGAGGAACCACCAGAGCTGGAACTCAAGTAGAGCAACATACCTGACATATAGAAAAGGGTAACTGCTGTCAGGTGAGAAGCACAGGTGTTGAAAGCCTTGGACATGCCTTTAGCTGAAGTGATCTTCATGATGGAGATGACAATATAGACATAAGATATCATGATAACCATGGCATTTATTATCCCAAAGATCAGTGTCAATATAGCAGTCATGAGTTGTACAAAGAAAGTGTCAGTGCAGGACAGGACTAGCAGTTGTGGCATGTCACAGAAGTGGTTGATGACATTAGACCCACAGAACTGGAGCTGAAGAATGGCCCACAACTGGGATATAGAAGCAGAGAGTCTCGCCAAATAGGACCCCAGTACCATGCGAACACAGAGAGTGGGCGACATGATTGATGAATAGAGAAGTGGATTACAAATGGCAGCGTATCGGTCATAAGCCATGGCTGTCATGAAACAAGACTCACTCAGTCCCATGGTGGAAAAGACAAAGTACTGAACAACGCAACCCACAAAGATGATAGTTTGCTGGTCCTGGAAAAAGTTGGAGAGCATCTTGGGGACTGTGGAAGTCACATAGCAGATATCTGTGGAGGACAGAGTACTGAGAAAGAAGTACATGGGTGTGTGGAGGTGAGAGTCCATTCTTATTAAGACGATGAGGCTCAGGTTCCAAGTCAGAGTCATAACATAGATAAACAGGAATACAACAAAAAGCCCTGTTATAATCTTTGGAAAATCTGGGAATCCCAGGAGGATGAAATGGGTGATCCCTATAATATTTCTTCCTCCAGTCATTGGCTTGGTGCTCCTAAAATCAGAAAGAGACAAGAGAATGCATTGCTGACTCAGGTGAAATGATAGCATTTCTGTTCTCCCATGTGCCATTTTTTCCTCCATTGAGCCCTGGAAAAAGGGAAATGTTTCACTGTGCTGGTGGAAAGAGTCTCTATCTCCTGCTTACTCATGACCCGAGATGAAGGACTACCCTACCTCTGGCTCATTGCACCCCTACTTCCCATTTCTGGAATCTGTTGGTAAAAGGTCTTATAATTTTACTTCCTTTATGTAAGTGTCTTGAAACTGTGTCTTTAATCAAAACAGCCCAGGGCTTTTTATCTCTCCAAGGTGAGAGCTTGGATGCTGAGGGAGACACCTGCCAACCCCATGTGGATGAATTGTATCTTTTCATTCATCAGGTCATGATCTGCATATTCTTAACATAGTCTTAATATAGCCCATCTATGGGCTCCAAACACACTCTTCCCAGGCAAGGAATCTAGTTAATAGACCCACCTATTGCAGAGTGTATCTCCAGGCATCGCCCAACCAGGGAGGCTGGCAAAAGCACCTGCAAAGCTGCATAGCTCAGCAGCACTTGAGCTGAAAGCCCAGTCAGTGCCTTTGACCTTCTACAGAACTGAGCCAGTGGCCCTCTCTGTCCAGGGAGCTCAATGTACAGCTTTGCCTGATTTGGGACCCCTACAATGAGCCTTGCCAGTCTTGAAGGCTATTTTGTCACTTTGCATGGACAGGGAAGCTAATGCATAGCCCTTCCTCATGTTGATTGTTGCACCAAACCCTGCCCAAGCAAGAAACTCAGCTGGAGCACCCAGGAAACTGTGTAGCCCAGCAACACTTGAGTGGAGAACCAAGCCAGAGGTTTCATAGAGTCAGAATGCTTAGGTCACAGTTCTTCCTGATTTTTTCCCCAAACAAGGAGCTTGCTGGCTTTGGAGACAGTTCTGTGGTCATGACCAGGCAAGGAAGCTAATTCATAGCCTGAGGCTGAACACAGCCTCATCCCCACCTATGCAGAGAACCTAACCAGATGACCTGGGAAGCTGTGTAGCCCATCCTACACCTATGCTTTCAGTGTCACATGAGCAGACAGTCCAGCCAGCGGTTCTCCTGTCTACAGAGCAAAGGTGATGGTCGGGGAGACTTGCACAGTTATGTTTGATTAAGGTCCCCAGTGAATAACCTGTACAAGCATTGAAAATCATTCCCCAGCCCTGCCCAGATGGTGGAACTAATTCATAACCCAACCTCCTACTGAGTGTAGTACCCAACTCTGCCCAGTTAGGAAGCCTAAATAGAAAACCCAAGTAACAATAGAGCCCATCCTACAGCCACATTCGGCCAGAAAATTAAACCTGCAATCCTACCCAACTTTTCCAAACAGGCACATGCCCTCTCCAACCTCAGAACTAGAGTAGTTGTCTGGCCAAAAAGCAAACTCTAATAGGAAGCCCCACCTGCTGAAGGACTACCAACTGGCCTATCCAAACCCCAAGGTAAGCTGACTGCTGAAGGACTGTCTCTGCCAAAAATAAAAAAATAAAAAATAAATAAAGTCTGTAAAGTCTGGAAGTGGAGACCACTTACTCAAATGTACAATCACCAATGTAAAGAGTCAAGGATAATAAAAATGTGGGTAAAAATAACACCATTAAATGAAATTAATAAAGTTTCAATGACAGATCCTACAAAAATGGAGATCTGTAAACTGTCTGGCAAAGACTCCAGAACAATTCTCTTAAAGAAATTTAGTGAACTACAAGAACACATAGACAACTAAACAAAGTTAAGAAAACAATGCATGAACAAATGAGTTCAACAAAGAAAGAGAAATCATCCAAAAACAAACATACCTCAAGAGAGCTGAAGAATACAAAGACTGAACTGTAGAAGTCAATACAAAGTTTCAACAGCAGACATGACCAAGCAAAATATTGCTTTTTTCTAGCTCAAGACATGAGCTAGAAAATAGGTTATTTACAATTATCCAGTCAGAGAAACAGAAAGAAAAAAGAATGAAAAAGAGTGAGGCAAACAAATGAGCAAAATAGAACTGGAGACTTGGAAATAAAGAACAAACTGACAGTGACCAGAGGGGAGGAGGAAGTGGGTAATGGGGCAAATAAGGGAAAAGGAAAAGCAAAGAAACACAAATAGAAGACTCATGGGTATGGACAGTAGGGGAGATATTGGGTAGGGGAGAGCAATGGGGAAAAAGGCAGGACAACTATAACTGAACAACAATAAAAAAATAAAATAATAAGAGAAATCAAGATGGTAGAGGAGTGAATGGAAGACACACTGACCCCCTCCCAGGAACAATCTGGAATTGCAACTAAATTGTGGAGAAATCACCTGGAACAACTGAACAACAGCAAGAGAGGAGCCTTATAATCTTGAATAGACAGAAGAATCAGCTTTAGCATGATCTAACTGGTAAGGAGTGTGGTAGAGACTTGAGAAGGCAGGCAGGGCACCCATGGGTGGCAGCACCAGAAGGATATTGAAACAGCCAGTTGGATCCCCTTGGGAAGAGTGTGGTCTAAACCACAAGTGGGGATCTCCAGCCTACTGCACCAGAGCCCAAAAGTACACAGATAACAATCAGCTGTGAAAAGTGGCAGAGTTGCTCTCTGCCAGAGACAGGCAGCTGGAGACTCAAACAGCCTTTTAAAGAGCCAATGCCTAAATTTTTATTTGCTGCCACTTACCCTGGTCTCCAGCAAAGGCAGGGGCTAGAGACGCCTGCGGAGAGACTGGGGAAGGAGCTTTGGGGAGAGAACTGAGAGAGTAGCCAGCAGAATCCCAGGCTGACTCATCCCCCATACAGCAGCAGCCATCTTGCTCAGGCAGACCACTCCCTGAGCAGCAACAGCGTGAGAGGAAATAATAGCCTTGCCCCAATAGGGAATCTGCCCTAGCCTGCAGTGTCTAAGACTGAGAAGAGTCTCACAAATGTGGGAAAACAAAGAAACACCCGCCATTTGAAGAGAAAGGAGGACTCCCCAAAAAGAGAACTAAATGAAGTAGAAGCAAGTAAACTATCAAATATTAAGTTCCAAACAATGGTTCTAAGGAAGCTCAATGAGCTCAGAGAGAATTACCAAAAACTACAGAGAAACTAGGAGGAACTTACTGCAAACTATATTAGCATGAAAAAGGGCATAGAAACTATCAATAAGAGACAAGAGGAAATGAAGAATACCATTTCCAAATTGAAGAACACAGTAGAAGGAATCAAAAGTTGGCTCGATGAAGCAGAAGAACAAATCAGTGAGCTGGAGGATAATGTAGAAAAGTGCTCCCAAAAAGAGCAAAAAAAATTTAAAAAGACTCTAAAAAAATGAAGAGGTGTTTAGGGAAATGCAGGACAACCTGAAATGAAATAATATCCATATAATAGAGATACCAGAGGGAGAAGAAGAGGAGCAAGGGATAGAGAATCTGTTTGAAAAAGTAATGATGGAAAACTTCCCTAACTGGAGGAGAAAAAAGTCACACAAGTCCAGGAAGCGCAGAGGGTCCCATTCAAGAGGAACCCCATGAGGCCCACTTCAAGACACATCATCATTAAAGTGGCAAATATCAAAGACAAACAGAGAATCCTAAAGGCAGCGAGAGAGAAGGAAGTAGCAACATATAAGGGAGCCCCAATACAGCTAGCAGCTGCCTTCTCAACAGAAACACTATGAGACAGAAGGGAATGATAGGAAATATTCCAAGTCATGAAAAGCAAAGGCCTGCAATCAAGACCGCTCTACCCAGCAAGGCTCTCAATTAAAGTGGAAGGCAAAATCAGGAGTTTCCCAGACAAAAGAAGGCTAAAAGAATACACCTCCACCAAACCAGCATTGCAAGATGTGCTCACAGGACTGCTTTAAGAAGATGAAGAAAAAGGGTCTATGAATGCCCAGTTCCATTCACAGTCACCAATACTTGATATTACCACCATTTTTAATATTTATTAATCTGATTGTGACAATGATGTGTTATTTTAAGTGTTACTTTATTATTTGTTGAAACTAAACCTGGTTTTGTATATTTCTTGCCTATTTCTATCATTTTTAAAAAACTTTAAATGACCTTTTGGTATTCTTTATCTATTTTTTTATTAAATGTTTGTAGAATTTTTTCCCTTAAAAAAAAATTAACCCTTTTTTAGATGTGTTGCAAATACTCTCCTATTCTATTATTTGTCATTTAACTTTTTTAATATGTATATTACCGTATAGTCTTAAATGTTTAATATAGTCATATTGTCAATATTTTACTTTACAGCTCTTGGGTTTGAATATTTATTTTGTTTTTCTCCTAAAACTCCTTAGATTTTACATATTGATTTTGAACTCACCTGAATATTTTTTGTATAATGTGTGAAATAGGGTTCTATATTTGTTTTATTTCAAGTAATAGTGGTCCATGCACCTTATTTGTTGAATAAGCCTTATTTTCCCCATTGATTTGAAATATCAATTTAATCACATTGTTAGATATATACATTTGTTTCTAGAATGCTCATTTTATTTCATTGATCTACTTGATTATTTCTGTGCTGGTGTTATGTTGTTTTAATTGTTGAGACTTTATAATGGATTTAAATTGTTTTAATATTTTATAATGGATTTTGACACTTAAAATATAAGTAAGTAAATAAAATCTGCATTTAAAAAAAAGAAAGAAAGAAGGAAAGCCTACCTTTTGCGATAACATCGATGGAAGTGGAGAATATCATACTAAGTGAAATAAGCCAGTCGCTGAAAGACAAATACCATATGATCTCACCTATAAGTGGAATCTGTTCAACGAAATAAACCACAGGCATGGAAACATGGAGCAGACTGAAAGTGACCAGAGGGGATGGGGAAGGAGGACAATGGTGGAAAGAAGGAGAAGGGGTTAGTCAAAGAACATGTATGAATGACCCATGGGCATGGCCCACAGAGTGGGCATTGACTGTGGGAGGGGGGAGGGGGGCAATGTGGGAGGGGCAGAGAAAA